AAATTCTTCAGCTGAGAGCTCGCCTCCCAATGATGCTTGAACAATATCGTCTGGGAATTGTCCAAAAAATGAATTTGCGATTGTTAATACACCTGGATCTTCATGATTAAATGCAGCAACAAATTTTACAGGCTTACAGCCTATGTTTTGTTGAAAATGAATGGAACCTATAGGAAAGACCGTTGCTTGATTTGGCCTAACTTCAGTCATAACAAATTTTGCACCATTCTCTTGAAAATAGCCAGCTCTCAATGTGCCATCGATGGAGAAATTAATTTCTGTTGCACGTGGATGTGTATGCGGTAGATTCAAACCACACGGCCCGAGAAAGCCGAAGGCCATGGCTACACCATGATTAATCAAAATTGGAAAATTACGTGCCTTAAAAAGCAGCAAAATGTGATTTTAAACAAACTTCAGTACAATTAATGGAAAGAAGGAGGCGAACCCATTAGCCTGTACCTGAGAATATATGCGTTCTGTGAATAAAGGAATGAAAATGTTTTATTATGTGTCGGCTGATTGATAGTGATACCAAAATAAGATTTTTCTACAACCATAGGTTTTCTATGACTTCCCAAGCAAAAATATAAAAAATAATACGTATAGATATATGACTCATTTGAAATTCGAATTAGAAAAAACCGAATTGGTTCCATGGTTCCGCTACATAAAAGTTCACCGTCGTTAAGACACATTGTTTGTTGAATGTATATGTTTCTGTGTGGGGGATTACTCAACTATCTCTATCTACACGCACATGTCACCCAAGCAAATATCACCTATGAGAAAAACCTAGATACATTTCGCGTATAATCGGACGATACATGACTAGTTATTAAAATCTTTTCTTTAAAAAAAGCCATTTCTCTTTCAGTGGCTATGTACTTAGTAGTACCTCACACAGAAAGTAGACAGGTTTGCAAAATTTTCGACTTTTGACATCCTTCGAGTTTCTTCCACATTTTGACATGGAAAAGCGCTTCTGGAATATCGAAGCACACATATTCGTGATCAGCATGAAAAGCTCTATTCAATTATGTATAATAAATGAAAAAAGATTTTTGTTCTGTTTTCCACCTAATATACGCGTGTCTTCACTGGAAAGCGACGCTGTATTTTTTGTACTTCGCACATGTTCTGTCGCTCAATATCACATTTAGGTCGATACTTTTCTTACGATTTCTTATTTGATACAAAATTTGTTTTCATTCGAACAGCATGCAGATATACAGTCAATAAGCATACGAACGGACTTGTCTTTCATTGCCTTCTTTTGGTTTTAAACGTTCGAACTTACACATCGCTCGCTCAGAAATGTATATTTCGTGTAATATTGTTTCGAAGCCCTACTTGTGTGACAAAAGTAAGGCTCTGGAACGATATTTCAGCAGGACTTATTCCCTTGACTGAAAGTCTAGGGTCATATGAAATAAATGTCGGCGTCGGCGTCGGCGTCCGCATGTGACGGACGTACATACATATAGTGGCAAGTGAGTGTGACGGACGTACATACACACAGTGACCAGTGAGCGTGACGGACGTACATACATTTAGTCATGTGGCAGTGTGACGGACGGCAATGATCATTTTTCGAAAAAGGTCAGCATTAGTAACTTTTCGAACTGTGGCAAAGAACCGGGACCGGTTTCAACGAGAAATTGGCCCAATATGATTTTGAATCAGAATGATCGGAAATGCTTCCATTTTCACTTCCCAACACTTCCGACTCTCAAAAATTCCTTCTGCTGTCTTTCAAACACAAATTAGTGTTCGTTTTTCGCCACCAGTTCAACAAAAGCGATTTACATTTTTCCGCAGTTTTAGCGTCCGATTTCCCCTATTATCAGCTTTTCCCAGGAAACGGCGATATACACCTCATTTGATAGAAACATCTTCGGGCTATTCAAAACAGTATTCCGATTAGTTCCAGCTTTTACCGA